CTTCGCGCCTGTTAAGTGTTATAGGGCTGTTAGACATCTTAATATGAGATAACATGAGATATCTGATGTATGTTATAGAGGAAGTTGTAAGACTTATAGCTCGACTTACTATCTCAGATATCTCAGTGGTCCACAGCTGGCGTTTCCCCTAAGCGGTGGGCAAGCCGCGTAAATCCGATAAATTTGGCAGCCCGCGTTTCGCCCCAGCGGTCTTCCAACCGCTTTCCAGCGGTCTTCCAACCGCTTTTCGTCTGGGAGGCCATGTTGGTCCACCAAACGCTTGCGAGCTGAAGTGCACCAGCGGTCCCCCAACCGCTTCTCCTATCCTGTCTCCCCATTGGCATCTCGCCCGCGAGCGCCATTTGGAGCTCAAGCTGTAGTTGTCAGCTGTTTGGGGCCCGCTGCCGCGATGCAGGGCGATTTGCATGCCCAGATTGAGGCTTCAGTCGCTGTAGTGAACAGCAACCCCATGAGGCGCTCGAGCGCGCAGAAAGACCGTTTGCTGGCACTCTTCAGGCAGAACCCGACTTCCGTGAGCAGCGCCGTGCCTGCGATCATGCAAGAGCGAGCCTTAGGCAAGTGGGCCGAGGCCGACCACGACGCCCTGGTGGACGCAGTGAGCGGCATGATGTCGGCGGGTTCCTCGACAGATCGTGGCGGTGAGAATGGCTCGTCCCAGCAAGATTTCCAGAGTTTCGTTCACTTTCTTACGGCCTCTCAATGGAAGAAGCTGTGTGATGGGGGCGAAGACATCCTGGTGTTGTTGCGCCGCTTCCTGCAGTCCCTGGGCTGCCGCAACCCTTGCGAGAAGACGTCCAGAATTGCGACTGTAGCGTTGGCCCTGGTGTCTGACCCTTGGAAAAAAAGTTCGGGCGATGAATGCTGGCATCTGGCAGCCCATGCACGACGCCACGAAGGGCCACCTGAAGACCCATCTCAGGGGCGTGCCTCCGTTCAAACACTTGCCCAATACGCCCGCTGAGTTAAAGGAGAAGCACCCGCACTTCTACAGCGAGTTGTACAGGGATGAAGGTCCGACCGCGCGCCCCTTCACTGCCGTCCAGATCGGCTTCATTAAAAGCGGGATTCGCTGCAGGGGTGCGAAGCAGAGGGGCGCAGGGCCCAGCGGTGCTGGCGCTGGCCCAATGGTCGCCGTTGCAGGTGGCACTGGGTTCGATCAGTTCGCGAATGTTTTGGGCTGCGCGGTGAAGCAGGTCATTGACGGCCAGTCCAAAATCCTCGAGATGCTCGCTGGCATCAAGAGCGGCCCGTCGGCCCCCAACCTGTGCAACTTGAAGATCTTCGGCCGGGATCGTGGTCAGCATGGCCAGCCGCGCGGCAGACTCGGATTGCCCGAACTCGGCGCAGGCGATCTCGGGAACGCGATGTCGGCCGCGCCCCCCTCGGCAAGAGCCGCCGCCGAGGACGGGGCCGAAGGCGAGGAGGGGGGGGGGGGGGGGGGCAAGGGCGAGCCCGCGGACCAGCCGACGACAGCGCCCCCCACGGCTACTCCGGGCCCAAAGGCGCCGAAGGTCAGCGGCAAGGAGGCGATGGAGATTGTCCAGAAGGCCATGGGCTCCCGCAAGAAATCCGACGAGGCCCCCCGCGCGAAGTCCGACGAGGCCCCTGGCGTGACCATGAAGCGCCCCGCGGCATGCAACAAGAGGCCTGCAGCGCACGACGACGGCAGTAGAAAGAAGGCTTCGTGGAGCGTCGAGCGGCCCCGCGGCAGGGCCATGGCTCGCGCGGGCCCCAAGGGTGCCTCCGAGAACGTCGGGTTCCGTTTCAAGGACTATGGCGGCCATCGAGGCGGCTGAGAAGTGGGTGGCCACGAAGAATCGCGAGATGGGCTTTGATTGAGCTGCGTCGCCCAAGCATGCATCTAGGTGACACTTTTCGGGGCGAGTGCACAGAGCTAGAAAGGTTCCATTGTAAATTGAATCGTGATGTGTCTTGGAAGGTGCAAACAACAAATACCACATCATTAGTGTTGCTCCCTCCACTCCCCCATCCAACCATTCCCCATAATTCTTGGTTGCGTTATCACGGGCGACCTCCCTGGTGGATCCATGGGGTCCGTTCACGCCTGCGGGGGAAGGGGCGAGGGGCGGCGACGGCCACCTGCCATCATCTGTTCTATGGGCCCGGCCGCTAATGTCAACGGCCAAGCGTTATGTCAGCGGTCATCCAACTGCTAATGCAGCGCATGGGTCGGTAAAGCGTTATCTCAGCGGTCATCCAACCGCTAATGCCACGGACGGTCAAGCGCCCTCCTCCCTCCCCCCTCCCTCCTCCCTCCTCCCTCTCTCCTACCTCCTCCTCCCTCCTCCCTCCTCCCTTCTCCCTCCCTCCTTCCTCCTCCCTCCTCCCTGCCTCCCTCCTCCTCCCTCCCCCCTCCTCCCTCCCCCCCTCCCTCCTCTCTCCATCATCCTCGTGCTAAGCCTACTCCCCCATTGTTCTGTTTAGGCTCCTTCAGGTCAAAAAATGCCGTGTGAACCCCTGGCCCCAAGAGGCCCGTCTCGTCAAACAGCGTCGGGGTAAATCCTGCCCAGACGCACGAACTTGCCATTGCGCTGAGCCCCCTCCTCCTCGCCAATCTCATCTGTCATATTTTGCTCGAGCTTGGCCTCTTTTGGCGCCTTGCGCAAGCGACCCATCGCCTGCAATGGGACGCCTTGGCGACGCCGTTGCCCAATCGGACGCCCACTTCGAGGCGTTCCAGGAGCTCTGCGCAGCTTGGCTACCAGGCGGCGCCCACTATCAGGAGCCTGGCTTGCCAGTTCAGGGCGCGCCCGCTGCTTCGAACGAGGTCGACAGCGCGCAGCGCGGGACCATCATTATCCCCATGGATGGTTCGGGCCCTTCGGCAGCTCCGGCTCCAAGCCCTTTGGCAGCTCCAGCTCCAGCTACAAGCGCGGGATCAGCTGCAAGTTCAGACCCTTCGGCGTCCACGTCGGCTTCGCGCAAGCGCAGCGTCTCTGAGGCCGAGCTGAACGCTGGGGCAACAGCGGCGGGCGCAATCAGGAGCACTTCAAGGAGTGGCACAAGCAGTTCTACAAGGCCAAGTGCGAGGGCAGACTGCCAGAGTTTCACCAGCAGCACGGTTCCAGGCCTGTGCCGCCGAAGTAGCGCGACGCCGCGTGGCGCCGCTGAGTTGGGCCGCAGTGCGCTCGGCTGCCCCGACAGGTCCGCTGAAGGCGCGACGGGTTTGAAACAACCAGCGTCGACCCAAACTCTTCGGGAAGGAGGGGCCGATGGGATTGAGCGGGGTCTGGGCGTCTGGGGGCCTAGGGGGCGAAGCTGCCGAGGGGGGCCAGGGGCCACGGAATCGAGCGGATGCGACAGGGGGGGCGGGTGCGGGGGGGGCAAAGGGGTGGCGTTTAGGTCGGGGGAGGGGGGCGGGGGCGGGGGGGGGGGGGCGAGGGGCGGCAAACAAAAACGATTTCCCCGAAACTGGACCAAAGGTCAATGTGCGCCCCCGCACGTATTAGCGGTCTGCCAACTGCTGGGGCACCTTCGTTTCTCGGTTGCCATTCGAGCGTGTAGGCGCTTTGGCTCGAGACACCCGCTTGCCCGCTCATTCTTTTCAAATCGAGCTCGCCGCGTGGCCGACGACGATCGCAGCCGCGAGGGGTGGGCGGCTGGGGGTACCTGGTTCTATTGCAAAGAATGCCCGATGGCCGAGCAATGCTCCAAGAGGGCTTGGTCTAGCGCAAAGGTCTGGGGCTGGACAATGGGGGGGTGCACGGACAGACTCGAGGCCCACTTGGCGCAATCTGGTCTCCGCATGGGTGAGATCCACTCGCAGCTCAGGCTGGAGAACCTCATCGAGGAAGCAGAGTACGTCGAGGTTTCTATTGCGCAGACGGAGGCCGACGCTCACGCCAAGGAGCTGAAAGAGTGGCTGCTGCAGAAGAAGCAGAAGTAGAAGACCTCTGATGACGCCCCACGTGTCGCCATTCCGAAGACGCTCGCACCAACGACACCGCCGCGCATGCAGGAGCCTATCGTGGTAGACCCACCAGGCACCGAACAGCCGAAGAAGCGCCTTTCTGTCGTCCCGAAGCCACCACCTGGGCCTCATCGTGCTGAGGTTGCCCAGCCTGCGCACGCCGCGTGCGACCAGCAAGACGCACTGGCGCTGCCGCAATCATCGTCGGGACCGAGCGGCGCTGCGACCACCCCGCAGCTTCGGGCCAGGCTGTCCCGCGGCGACCCCAACTGCGCCATCGTCATTCGCTCGGTCGAGCTCCAGGCTGTGATCGACGCGGCGAGGCGCTCGAGCGCCGCAGCTAAGTCTGCTCAGCGCATTTGCGAGCAAGCAGCGCGGTTCTTTGCTTCTGAAGCCAACGTTCAGGATCAGAGCGTGGTTGACGTAGAGGCCAGGATGCCCGTCGCTTTCGGTCTTTAGATTGCGCGGGGCCTCGTCGGGGCGGGCCAGACCGCCGCTTGCAACGTTCAGTGGCACACTTGCGCCGACATCGCGCTGCGGACGAGCAAACCAAAAACATCATCGCCATCATCGCCGTGGTCCCGGTACATATCGATACATCTCGATGCGCCGTCGATACGCGTCCCGGTGCACCGCCGATACACCGCCGATGCGCGACCGATGCGTCGCCGATACACCACCGATACATGCCGATACACGCCGATACGCGCCGATACACGCATCGGCGCGCATCGGCGTGTATCGGGCGTGTATCGGGCGTGTATCGAAACATGTATCGAGATGCACCGGTACCTGTATCGACCCTGTATCGACCCTGTATCGAAGCGTATCGAACCCTATCGGCTCGTACCGCTCAGTTCTGGCTTGGGGCCTCCGTCCCGCTGGTTGGGGGTTTCATGTTGGATGGTTTTGCGTCCCTCGATTTTATATCCCATGTTTCTGAGGACGCTCATCTTCGCTTCTGGCGTGTCAAAGTTGACCTTCGGCCTGCCCTTGCAGGCGACGTTCTATCTATATATCCTTCCTTATGCTTGGGGGGGGGGGCTCCTCTTGCTCGGCCCCAAGCGGTCTTCCAACCGCTCCCATCGCCAACATTGCGAATCTATATTTCCCGACTCCAAGCGGTCCGCCAACCGCTACACAGAGGACCGCGGAGACCAGAGTGCCCGCTGCATATTCAGCTGGCTCTGCAGCGCCGCGAACAGCCTCGGCCTTCCGCGTCGCTCGCATGAAGGGGGCTGCCGCGCTCTTCGGCGGCAAGGAAGGGCTCGCGGCGGCGCGGCAGCAGAAGCGGGGCGCAGACGCAGCCGCCGCTGCAGATAAGGCGGCGCAGAAGAAGGCGAAACTTGCTGCGACAAGAGAGGGCACCAAGAGGCTGAATAAGCAGGCCCGAGAGGCGATCGCCGAGGTCTTCGCCAAGATTCCCGAGCCAGGAGATGAGGCGCATCCAACTGCCGAGCCCGAGGGTGGAGCTGACAGCGTAGCAAGTGGTGTCAAGGCGGAACAGGTCGTTGAGGACGAGGGCTTGCACACGGGTGGCGCGCCGCCCCCCACGCTGGCACGCGATCCTGATGTCAAGGCCGATTTCGCCGAAGTCACGATGGGGTTGGTGACGGACACCAGGTGCATGCGTTGCTGCAAGGTGGTAAACACGCTGAAGGCGACCCAGAAGACGAAGACCAAATGGATGTGCTTCTCGTGCGGAGCAAGGGGCACGAAGTTGTTCCGCATGTACGGCAGCTGGCCCTGCTCGGAGTTCCAGGGGCTCCCACAGTCTGAACAAAAGGCCTTTTGGGGTGCTCCTGTAGAGAACGACTCCGACGCAGCACTCGAGAAGCTCGTGGTGGGGAGCATCGCCAAGTCCATCGCTGACAAGGAGACGGACGTGCACGAGGGAGGTTTCCAGCCCCTGTCGCACTGGGAGAAAAAAGGGTACGACGTGGAGATGATCCAGAACAACGCCCCGAAGCACATGCAAGAGTGGCGCAGCCAGCTTGGATAGACCTACAACGTCGCCGTTCACAAACAGAGCAAGGGCAATATTTTCGAGACTGTGCGCACCCAGATTCTACAGAAGAGAACCGACGTGGCCATGGCCAAGGGCAGCGGCTCCCCGCGGCCATCTTTCTTGGCGCCTGGAGGTATCACGGGCTCGAACCTCACAAACGTCGGCGCGAGTGCAGTCAAGGGGATCGAGACGGAGAAGGGCGACGCTGGGGAGAGAGGCAAGAAGGACAATAATAACAAGAAACGTAAATCTTCTTCGAGCTCGTCGGGCTCGAGCGCCAAGAAGGCCAATCAGAAGAGGAGGGAAGCCAAAAAAAGTAAAGCAGGAGGAGAAGGAGCGCATCAAAGCAGAGAAACTCGAGAAGTCCACCGGGGACAAGGCCACGAGAAGCAACCACTCATGCTCCAAAAAATGATTCAGAAAGCTAGCGCAGTGCAAGTCTCGTTGGATCGTGACCTCGTGGATTCGTTCCTCAAAGAAGTCCCGAGCGTCGTGAAGGCTGCTGCGGAAAAGGCCTACAAAGAGATCAGAGCGCTGGTGGAGAAGGCGACGGATAACCTCGGGAGCGAGTCGCCTGAAGCTTGGGAGGATGACTTAGTGGATACGTTTCCCACGAAGGTTCCACGGTGGGTCGAAGCCGCTCAGTTGCTGGCAGTCCAGCTTAGCGCTGTCAAGAAGGTGCCAGAGTCGATGTAGAGCTGCCGCCTCTTTTGCCCGAATCGGGCACAATGCCGGCCGATGGGGTCACGCATAGCCCGAGCTATGGGTGAGACGGGCCTGGCGCGCTAACTCTTGAGGACCGCCGCATGGGGAGGCG